TCAAACTCATAGATAATAATCACAATAATAGATAATAATCAAACTCATAGATAATAATCATTTTTACAACATCATGAACAAAACGCTTTCAAAATTTCAATAGCAGTAAATCCTCCTCTTGACCTAAAATCCTATCTAAGATATGTCGACGATAGTCGCGCTAGATTTTCCAACACTCAAGAAGTAGAATAATTCCTAACTATCTTAAACAAACAACACCCTGCAATACAATATATGATCGAAACTGAAAGCAAAAATAGGACTCTAAACTTCCTTGATTTAACCGTAATAAATAACAACAAAGGAAAATACGAGTTTAAAGTTTACAGAAAGGAAGCCATAACTAATATCCAAATTAAACATCACTCAAATCATGACCCTAAGGTTCTAAACGCAATATTTAAAGGTTACATTCACAGGGCTTATTCTTTATGCAGTAATTATATTTACAAGATGAGATTAATTTCCTTATTCAAATATTTAACAAAAATGGGTACAACATATACCAACTTAAACGGATTGCAAAATTAATTGGAAATAAATGGTCTCTAAAAATCAATAAAATTCAATAAGACTCTCTTAACATCCTTACTGTATCATTGCCGTGGATACCATTGCTATCCCCAAAACTAAGGAAAATATTTCAGAAAGCTGGCTATAGAGTAGTCTTCAAATCAAATTCAATATACATTATAGCCAAGTTTAATCACGTTTAATAATATTTTGCTATATTTTTTCCAGCGCATTTGAGCGTTGATTTAACGTTATATTTCAACCTTTACTCGACGTCTTTGAGTCACGTTAAATTGACGTTTTACTACCAACGTTACAAATCCTTGCAGAATCAACTGCTTTAACAACGGTAAAGTAACGCTTTTCAAGTAACGCTTTTTTAACGTTAAGTTGCGACGCCTATGCAACGCTTCTAAAGTAACGCTTTTTCAACGTTTAGTTGCGACATTTTTGTAACGTCTTTTAGTAACGTTTTTTCAACGTTGCGCTACAACGTTTAATCAACGTCTCTTTAACAACGTTACGTTTCTTTGCAAAATCGATTACTTTGTCAACGTTTCCGCAACATCTTTTGCGACCGGTTTTCAACGTTGATTCAACGCTGACATGTTTGATGGGTCTATATTAGCTGAATTGTAATCTATTTTTTTAACAACACTGAAAATGTAAAAAAAGTAAAATTTTTATATAAATTTAAAAACAAATGTTTTTTAACAAACATTAATTTTAGGTTTATAACTAACCACTTCTCGAATAATTTTGTTCATTTTGCAAACAAATGTTTGTATGCGTTGATCTTCGAGGATATTGTCGGAGTGCTGACTTTGCAAATTTTTTCATAAGTTTGCTTTCTGCTTCTTGATATTCTTTTTCTGTAAGACACTCGTTTGTTCTCGGATCAAAGAAACATGCTAACAAACTTTGCAGCTTTTGTTTTGTAAACATCTTTTCAACAAAGTATACCTTCATGAACTTGAGAAGACTAGCTCGTAACATGTTCTCTCTTTCCACTGTAGGAGATGGTTGTAAAAGAAAACATTTAGCTGAAGATTCATTTTCAAGAAAGTTCATTTACGTATTTTGGACGAATTTTGCTGAGGAAAGTGTTAGAAATTTTTTAGTAGAGAGAAGTTTAGTTGCAATTCTCATTATAACCTTGCTCCATTGCTTAAATGGAGCAAAGTTATAATGAAAAATGTCTAGGAACTTCCAGTCATCTGATAACAAAGCTAGTTTCTTGAGTTTATTAATCTGTTTTTCTGTTAACCCATCGATAGTGCAAGGATCTACGGTAATTTTATTATAAACATATTTCGCTTTCATTATTTAATAATCATTAAAAACGTTGAGTTCCAACGTACATGAAAATCTTATGAAAAGTTGTTTAATTTCAGTCCCTGCTTCTTAATCTCACTAAAAACAAATGATTGCAAAACAGAAGATTGTTTAACATTAGCTATGGTCTTTTTTAGCCTGAATAATATGCTTGATGAATAAATGAATAACTGTTCAACATTTTCATTGGTTGACGCCTGCTCCTCCTCGCTACTTTCTTCATCATCTGAGCTAACGCCTTCTTTGTCATAAGTGCATGCAATTTCTTCTTGATCGTCAAATGAAATATTTCCATTTGATTCGATATCGCTTTCATTATAATTATTGTAATATATAAGATCTTCATCTACATCTGCTGTGCTATCTGATAAGTTATGTGATGGTTTAGTCCACAATTTGATTCCATGGTTCAAAACAAGATTTAAATTATGACAAATGCATGAAAGTCGTAAAGCAATAGATCCCATCGCCTTTTTAATATCTTCAGCGTTGTCAGTTGTAATTGGAATAATTTTAGATTCAATTTCAAGTTTATTAATTTTTTTTTTGTACAAATGCTGTAAGTCTATTACTTAATTGCCTTCCATAAAACCTACAAAAAAAAACTATTTTTGATTTGTATTTAAATTTTTTTGTTAAGTAATCCGCTGTTATGCAAAGCCAATACAATCCAACTCGATTTTTCCACAAATCTGTTGCTAGTGCTTTGTAGGCAACTAATTTAATTTTAGCTTTAAGATCGTTCTTGTATTGATAATACCGTTTTCTTAATTGATTAGCTATTGTCTTTCGATGAGGCGGCTTGTAATGCGGAGCAAGAATGTTTAGAAGGAGTTGCATACCAGGTTTATGAAAATCGTTGAAAGGGCGGCTATCTTGAACAATACAATTTATTATGGCTTTTTTCGCAAACATTATCAAACGCAAAACATTACTCTACCAAAACTTGCTAAAAAAAAATTAATATTTCTTAGTGGCCGTGTACATAGTGA